GTAGTTGGCCTGTGCCTAAATGCACTGAATGACCAGTGTAGTTGAGCAGGTGAGCTCACATTTACAGGCTGTTTACATGAAAAGCTGTGGAAAAGAGTTGCAAAATAACCCTTATGCAGTAGGATTTCTCTTCTTTAATCTTTGATATCTAAAGGCTATATTGCAAAGTCTTAGTTAGTCAGCCTTGGACCCCTGAATAGTCACTGAAAAGAAACAGAGATTTAAGATCAGCGCATCTGACCTGTCTCAGATAACCAGATTAGGATGAGTCAATGTGCAAAAATACTCCATCGCTCTCCACTGATAATAAAAGGAGCCTCTGTAGATGTAATCATCTAATATTGGACACACTGGTAAAGATATATTAATGTCCCATCTGAAATATCTAACATTTCAGCATCAAGATATATGTATTTCATAGAACTCCATGTTATGAAAGCCAAGAAATATAGGTGTTTTCAGTGGAAGCGGGACGGGCTGGCGTGAGGTTCTTCACACTGCATAGGTTACTGCATGACTTAAGTGATCATTTCACTTTCCTTTCCTGTAGATTACTGTGTTCACTTAGGTGATGTCTTGCTGTGTACACCAGGATAAAGGTGTGTAGCTTTTGCATTTTGTTTTGTTTCGTCATTGTAATTCTGAATGTGAAAGAAGTAAAGCACATTATTTTTTATATAGTGTTTTCATTTTTGGGCAGAAGGCTACTTCAAGTTTTTTTCAGAAAGTGTTGCATATCATTAACTAATAGTAAGTATTTGTCTAAACTAATTAAAATGAAAGAAAACACCACACCCTAAAGTCCATTGTCCTGAAGTTTTCAGCTGGTCAAAGGTACAACAACAAAATTAAAGATAATTTTCTTTAGTGGACTTTCAACTTTTAAAGGATTCTCATCCATTTAACTGTCAGAGTTGTACAAAATGCTTAGATGGGCAGGATAAATTCATTTCAAATAGGCACAACAATCCCCTGTATAGAAATGGGAAAACAAATCAGAACTGTTGCAAAGACAGCTGTAGCCAGCTGTCTTTATACAATTACAGAACGAGACAGATCCCGAAACTAGACAAGAAAATTGCAGAAAGAAGTATCAAATAATAAGAAGCATTTTATTAAAGTTAGAATGCTTGGATAGAACTCGGATAACTGTGTACAAATTACCAAACCATCAGCTGATGGATTTCAGAATAGTTTTATTGAAGTCAAGGACCTCACACTATTTAATCCTAATTAATAACATCCTAAAGTAAATCTAACTTCAGCAATAAAAAATATTTTAATAGTTTATATAATTCTCCTGATCTGTGTTACGTTATTATGCTCCTGGTATAGACAAGTTAACAGAAAAAAAATCATTATCACATATCTTTCAGGGTTGTAATTAGTATCATTCCTCCAGTGTATTACTTAACTGATTTTCTCTAAAACTTATTTAGCCTTCTCACATTTCAAAACGCCTCCTCGTTGTCCTTATGCTGGCAATGAAGCCTCTCTTTTCTCTTCTTGTTATTTACCTTCAATCGTTTTCTTCTTTCGTTCCCTATCCTTTTTTGCAGAGTAATTATCTTTTGCACATCAGAAGTACACTTGAAATCATCTGAATTCAGGGAAACTCAACATTCTTTCTTCCTGGTTATTTAAAACCTTTTTAATAAATCCAATGTTTCTGAACCCCGGGAAACAGTATTTCTTCTTAAATGGAGATCATCGCTCTTATAGCTTCTATTTCAGACTTTGTTGACCGCAAAGAATTTACACCAATTCTACAATAGATACAGGTTAACTGGTAAGTCTTTGCTTAAACAACTCTCACATAACCTGATGCCTTTAATTTGGAGAAGGGTTCAACTGCTGCAGTTGCTGACTTTGCATATATCTGACTACATTTATATCAGCTTAATTAAATTAGTAAAATTTTTGAATGGAGATGAAGCTAGAGGAAAAAACCCAGAACATTTTTATACAGTAAAATCCATAGCACTTATATATATATTTTGGTCTTTGGTCTTCACTACTGACTGTCTCTCTGATTCTAACTTTATGTGACGTGAGAAGAATCTCTTGGAAGAATTGCCAAGGTCTCGAAAACTAACAAAAATTTCATCAATTCATATTCAGTCCTGTAATTTCTTATCCATAAATAAATAAATGGCAGAAAAGGCAGTGCCTCTTCTTAAGGACAATGCTTCATGCTTATTATTACACCTGTTCTCCCTACATCTGTAGACAGATCTAATGATTTTCTTTTATTTAGAAACCAAATATTTTTAAATATATGCCTCCCTTTGCTAAATTTGCTATCAGCAATGTAGGCTAGGTTTTTATTTCCTATGTATTTGTAGTCATAGCACTGAGTGATGGAATAAAACTCAATTGTGTTAGATGCTGTTCAAATACAGAACAAAATTGTCATGTCCCCAGATCTCAATTGAAGTTAAGGGGCAACACGGAGAAATCATCAATATATGCTCAATTTGTTTTAAGTCTCCTATTTCTAATAAATGAGTTTAGTAGACCATGTTTAGTGTTCTTCAGAATTAATACAGCCTTGGCAGAATGGCATCAATGTATTTTAAATTAAAATCACATTTTTTTTAATTATACTTAAAATATATTTAATTGATGCTCCATTTTGTTCTATCATCATTCAAGTGCTACCTCAAGAGCACTAACTCAAAGCTCTTGAGTTTCCTATAATCTAAAATCATATAGCTTTAGAGAACAGAATCATTCTGTTTATCAAAAAGAAGCTTTTTAAAATTTCTCAGGCAGAAAAAAATAATCATGAAAGCACAGAGGTGAGAGATGGAAAAAGACCTATTAAACATATTCTTGCTCTCTGTCACTGCGATGTTTTCCCCTACAGTCTTTTATTTTATCTTGTCTAGCTTTAAATCTCTTACGGATTCCTACTCAATTTTCATTGGAAAACTATTTCAGCGCCAATCTCCACCTCAGGAAATCTCTCCCAGTGTTCAGCTTATGTTTGTATTACATAAAATGACAGATATAAAATGCTTTTTGGTAAGCAACTTACATATGTTCTTTTCTTAATCTTATCTAAACATTTACTGAAGAGCTGGTTGAATGGGGAAAAAATATATTCATGAACATGCTTGCTAACACTGATTAAATTAGTCCACATTTGTGTCTCTTTGTATAAGGGTTTCCATAAAGATGGGGTTGATATTTTGTATTTTGATATTTGTGCTTGGAAGTGGGAACATTAGTTGACAGAAAGAAGGCATGGGGTATGAGACTGAGGAAACCAAGGATCTGCAGTGTGATACAGAGTGTCATTTTCTGCATAAATAATTGTGTGAAGGAGTAGGCTAGACAGAAGAGGCTGATCTAGTAGGAGGCAAGTCCATATGCATAGCCTACTACAACTATGCTTCATATGCATAAGGAAAAGGTATAAAAGAATAAGGAAAACAAATGAACATTACTGGGGAAAAAAGACATTTTAATGAAGAAACGTATCCTTTTTTTCCTCAGAAAACTTAACAATTAAGAAAGTTCCAACAAATCATGTTTGAATATTTTATCTCATTCATTTGCCACCTAATTTCTTAACTGAAAGCTACAGCTGTTTGTAAAGCTTAGACAATCAAATCAGTTAACAGAAACTATAGGATATCTAACTTAGATATCAGGTTATGAAGAAGTAGGTGTAGATCTCTAGTCACAGGTGAGTACATGAAATATACCTGGATGGCATATATGATCTGATGAATTATTAAAAAAATACATTCAGAAAAATTGCATTACTTGTACAAAAAAAGGCTGTAATTCAGCTGTCCATTGTTTCTCATGAGTAAACTGCCCAGCTCTCTGATCTATGCATCTGTGCATCTTACTATGCATTTCTAAAGTGATAAATGTTTTACCATAAATAGACAAATTCTGGATAGAGATAACAGCTAACTACAAATCCTTATATATAAGGTGTTGATGTAGGTTAATATTCATGGCTGTGTACTGTTATTTCAGCATCATAGACCATGGCCATTAGAAACAGGTATGCAGCATAGTGTAAAAGAAACCTGAACACAATTTTCTACAGAAAAAATTTAAAGAGGAAAATGCTAAGCTTTGTATTCTGCTTTGTGCTCTATTTTTAGGCTTTGTTTAGTCAGAAGACAAAATGGACACCTGTTTTGGAAAAAGTCTTGTAATTCTAGAGTGGAGGAATGGAACAGCTGTGTTGACTGTACTGAAAAAAGTAGGACATCCAAAGAAATTGTACATAGACTCATACTTCACACTTGATTTATTTTTTTGAAACTCAGGTTTAGGAACTTCAAAGTTCAAATAACTTTAGTTCTAAATAAAGCTACCATACAGTGTAATACTAGCAGTTATAAATGTTCAAGAATGTTATAATTCTTTGCATCTATTGAAAGCTGAGACATTCATGCAAAAGATGCCAAGTTTCCTACAAACTGCATTAAAAGCTGTTTACTTTCAAGGCAGGGACAGAGTACAAGTGGGATCTGTGAGATAATAAATCAGGAAGCATAAATACATGAAGCATAGCTGGTGTAAAGCATAGAAGAGATCTGTTAGCAGTGGTCAGTCATTCAGACATGCTAAGGTTGCTGTATCTGCAGTAATCTGTCCAGGTAACTCCCTGTAAACTTGACATAAGTTGTTGACTAAAGAGTAATGCAAGCACAAATGTCACATAGCTGCCGATCTCTAAAATGATAATAGCAAAAAGAAGCCTGAATTAGGAATAGCCTCATGTATGTCAAACTTTAACGTACTGTGACTAGACTGTAATGGATTACTCACTGCCCTTTTTGTTGTGCTGAATTTGATCATTTGGCATGACGAACTGGCAGATATTCCAATGCTCAGCCAAGCACCTAATGTACCATTCAAATTTCCATTCAAATGAGGCTGAGTTGGAAGAGGTGAGGGGTTCTTCCATGGAAAAAAACACCCAGGAAAGAAATGTTCTCCCTTAGTCCTAGAGCTGGCCAGAAACCACAGCTATAGCTCCCTAATAGCAGAACTTCACACAGATTTCAGGAGTGCAGCAGTAAAACATTAGAAATCCTTACTTGGCTGATTGATGAGACAGAGATGGAGCAAAAGGTATGCGTTACTTTAAATTTCCAGCTATTTCTGTAAAAATGGACACAGGCAGTATAAGGCTCACAGGTACAATGAATGTTCTACATTCATATCTTTTCCTATGTCTTTGTTGGTGTCAGGTATTCATGAACAGGTCACCTTGGGAATTCCACATATGCACCAGACATCTGGTTCATCTGAAACTGAAGTGTTCTGAATTATCTTGCAATTGCTGTCTTAATAAAAGAGTTAGTGCACATTTTCCATCCTCAACATTTTGTTTCCCATTTTTTGGTTGTTTTGGGGTTTCTTTGGGTCGGTTGGTTTGTTTGTTTGGGGTGGTTTTGTTTTGTTTTGTTTTGTTTTCTTCTTTTTTGTTGTTGTTGGTGTTTCCTGGGGCTTGATGCAGCTTATATAATGAAGTGATCTGTTGACATGAAAGTAGATCTGATTGAAAGATTTTCCAAATTGACCAAAGACTCTTTCTAAAAAACAACCCAAAATAGAAAAAAAAAAGACAAACAAAAAACCCATAAAAAAACAAAAGCAAACCTTTCAGTTAGAATAGTCATACTTTGTATCACTTCATGGCTGAATTGCTAATTGGCTTAGGAGAGATATTCTTTCACATTGTCACCTTTATTAAAATAAAGTTTTCACCCTGAATTCTCTCAGGAGTACCAAAGATTGGAAGTTGGACTTCTCACATCACATACTGATCCTCAAAAAATGTAATTTAGAACAAGTCATACCTACGTCTGATAAATCTTTGGCATACATTGAAATAAAACATAACCTGGAAGGGATAATTAAAAAACAAATTAAATTGAATATTTCATTCCGCATTTTGTAGGTAGCTGAGCAATTGCATGAGGGATGTAGTGCCATTTTCTGCCCACACACTTTTGTGTATTTCTGCTGCATGAGAAAAGCAGGGACTAAACGCCCATGCCATACTTTCCCTCTCTGCTCAGAGCTTTGGCTTCAGCCTCTTAATCTTTCTACTACAAGAGCAAAACTTTCCCTGAGGAGTGAGAAATTAATAGGATAAAATCTTCTTTCACCTTCAGCGTTTCAGTAGGTAGTGTGCTTGTTTGTGTGTTCTCCCTAAATGGTGTAGTATCTCAAGACTCAAACTAACTCTAATTATTTAACTATCATCACCATCATATAAATTGACAAGAGATATTAATAGAAGTACATGTTGCTAATCCTTGCTAGTCCATAATCTAACTGCAAGAATAGTACCCCCACAGACATTATTCCTATTGATTATCACCAATGCAGGTATTTGTTCGTTTTTGCATCTTTTACCTCTCTGAAAAGTGAAAAGTTTTTAAATCTCATTTATGTATTTAAATCAGAAAATAAATACTACCATTGGATTTCCTCTGTAAGGATGTGTGTTAGTCTGCCTCTTTAGAAAAGACTATCCTTCCTGCCCCTTGGAGTGACCCTCTGTGTGCTCCTAATCATCTCTTCCAGAAAAGGAAAAATCTCACTATATAAAGAGCTGGGACACCAAGTTAGTGAATACCATGAGTTGGTAGATCGATTCTAACAGATGCATATATCTTGTCAGATTAACACTGTTCTCAGTTTCAAATGTACATGACTAATAAAGCAGCAAATGAAAATCACTTGAAGAACAAAATACTCTGTAGTGTGCTCTCTATTGCTTCTGAACTACACCAGGCAGCAGTCTCTCTCTTCTTACAGCACTCTATCTTTCATAATCCCCCTTAGATCAAGTTTTTAAAGGATATTGTGTATTTAGAAGGAAGGCTTCTAAAATTTAATAAATGTTGCTGGGCTTTTGTAAATCTAATATTATCTGTTATCTCTACTTCAAAGGGCAGAAAAGCTGCTGTTACCAGCTGGAATCTCTGACTTCTAAAACGAAAATGTAACTGAGCCCACATTCCTTATACAGGTCAGGGAAACGGGATACTATTGTAACTCTGGTTAAAAAACATCAGAGAGGGAACTGAAGAGGCACCAAGTGAATTTGTCCTCCATTTTTCCATTAACTGTCAAAGTGATTTGTAACAATTCAGACAATGACAGTCTTCCTCATTAAACCAAACGGTGGACTCAGTCAAAAAATATCCTGCCTTTACCATTATTCTCCATGCTACTGGTCAGTGTTTTCTAAGTCAAAAGGTACAAGTAAAACAAGGTTTGCAGGAAGAAGTAATGCTTTTTAGGAAGCTGAGTGAAAAGTTACAAAACTGTCTCTTTCAAATCATTGCAGTCATTACAGCATTTCTCTTGCTGGTGTGGTAGTGAAAGCTATGGCACAAAAGATTTATACCAAATGGCAGTTGTAATGACAGACTAATGACTGCTTTTGAAAAAGCAATTTCAGTTATTTTGTGCATATAGTCTGACTTTTTGGACCATATTAGAATATGGATATGAAAAACATGATCAAATTATACCATTCCAGGGTTCCTTCCAGATTCCTATCGTATCTCTGTCAGTAGATACATTTCCACGGGTCTTAGTAGTGTTTGGATTATAAACCATCTATAGCTTTCCTATTGAAGTCAGAGCTTCTATGAGCTTGTCCTGCAATCATTCATGTTTCCAGAGAGTGAATGGAGAGTAGAGATAATGAGGATTGGATATATTTCCACATTAATCATCAAAAAGTTATGTCCCCAGCCCAAGATATTCATCAAGCTTCTTCTAAGCTCCGTGGAGAGAAACAGGCACACCTGGAAGGCAAGTTTACAGACAGTGTCTAAAAATGCAAATAGAACACTCTCCCTTTAGAAGTGCTTCTCACTTGTCCCACTAATTATTAGGGAGCTTAGAAAACAAACTCAAAGAGGGTCTAATCTTAGAGATTAATTTAGACAAGATAAATTCTAACCAAAGCATAAGTCAATGTAGTTCTATCCTTTCTAATTATTTCTTTCTAAAGCATTTTATAATTATTTCTATGTTTTAAGCTAATTTTATTTACACAGATCAGTATTACAATGAAAAGCCTGCCTCACCATTTACCTTGGGAGCCTCCACAGTGATCTGGTGAAGTACTGTGAACCTCAAGAATTTCTTATTTTCAGCTTTTGGCCTGTTATTCTTTTTTTTATATCTGCTCTTACTATAATAGGTAATTATTTTCCTGCAGTGCACATGAATTTCCAGTAGAAAACTTGGTTTATGCTTTTAACTCTCTGCTCTTCATTTAAGCTACCTAAGAACAGAGAAGAGAACCTGTCCAAAAAGAGGATATCATCCCTTTGATACTATTGAATGATGTGTTTGGCCTTTACTCTAAGAAGTTTGGACTTTGCTGATCTGGATGCTCCCAAGAGGGGGTTGCATCCAAATGTTGACCTTGTATAACCTTTCTTAGCTTGTGAATTGACAAGATCGTAGCACATGATTGTATAGTTCCTCTTAATTAATTTGCCATTATATTTCCACAGTCTTGAGAGAGAAAGAGATTTTTAGTGCTTTATTCATTTTCTAATATCTGTCCCTTGGCTGCAGTCCTGAAGTTAATGCTCACTAATAGTATGTTCTTTGTCTGCCCAGTTACCAGGGTCATCGTTTTTCAAAAGAGGTCTCCAGAATGTAGAAATGATTCTTCAGTCACTGTTTTTCTTTTTAACAGAGACCTTTTCTGTAGTCCTTTTTCCTTTATAGCCTACAGCTGAGATGTTTTGCTCTGCCAATTTTTTATTTTCTGCATAGTCCAATTCTTCAGTCATCACAGAGCGAACTTTGCATTTGATTGTTTTATTAGACAAAGTCACAGTAGAAACTGGTATAAATTATCCTACCCGGAGACTATTTTGATTGGATTTTAGTTTATACACAACCACCAAAATATTTCTTTTAAGTTTTCTTCCTTCACAGTGACATTACTGACAGTTGCAAAAAGATTAGGAATAGTATGGATTTTTTAAAAAAAATAAATTATGGTCGAAAGAATTATCCAGAATGAGGTGTACTGATTATCTTAGTGAAGAAGAGATATAAATAAATGCTTTTTCAGTAGAATTTTAATTATTTTGTTATTTTTACCAAAATAAGGTACAAAAAGTGAAATATATATTTTCTATCCAGGCATAGAAATAGTCTGAACTTTGGAAATAGGAGCAAAATTAAAGGGGTGAGAGAACAAAAAGGGAAATGTTTCTTTAGATTTCATCATCAGACTTCGGGCTCTGTAATGGGTATCTGTATGGTTTCTTTGTACCCTGCTAGAGGAAAAAGAAGGGCTTGAAGAGGGTTCTGAAATACACTAGTTATGGTAAAAAAGATATTCGTTTCAATAGGCTGAGAAAGGCTGTCATCTATTAATATATTTGTAAAGGAAATGCTTCCCTATTCCAATACTGTGGACACCTCTAACTTTCTAAAGCTTCATTCACCAAACTGTTCTGTTCATGTTTAAAAAAGAATATCCACAAAGTGTTTTCTTAATTTCACAATTTAGTGGATCAAAACATGAAATAATTATATATTTCATTGGGCATGATTTGTTTCTGTCATTTCGCTGATGAAAAGTCCACCAGAACTGATGAAAAGGAAAATATTTGGGGCTATGCAAGTGTTCTGGAGTTTGGAATTACAAATTCATAAGGAAGAGGCATTTCCACGTGGCAAGGACCTGCAGTCTTACTCACAGATTTCCTACTGAGATGTATTTAAAAGCCTTCAGAGTGCTCCATGAACTTTAAATTTCAGCTGACCTACATCTTTGCATTATTGCCCTTGATCTTTTAAAAGCTTCCAATTCACTTTTATAATAAAACATCACCAAACTTCCGATGACATATCTATTCATTTCAGAAAGCTGCATAATTTAAAATATACACCAGCAGCCTGGTAAATTCAAGTGAAATCAAACATACTTTGGAAAGAATTTAAGTAATTTTCTTTAAATAAATGGGAGGGGCTTGTGTTAGACAAACATGAAAATTAATCATGTGTTGTAGGATTGCTTCAGATGCTTAGGTATTTGGCAAACACTCTGAAATAATTTAAAAAATTGATACTGTTGTATTATCAACATGTTTTACGTTCAGCTCTTAGATAAAAATATACACAGGTATTCAGCCATTCATGATCTGATCACCTGGTATTTCACGTTCGATATGATTTATCTACAGTTCTAAAAAGTACTAAGCCTATTTCTTCACATTCTATATTTTCAAGAGAGTTTACTGTTTATGCAGGCTGGTCACAGTTGGGTATAATATATCTATGTGTCAGAAATTGGAACAGGCAGTAGACATTATAGATGAATTGCCAGGAAATTACCCCAAGTGTGCTGACTTCCCAAATTCCTTCAAATGACTTAACAGGCTTGACATGGCAGCTCAGTGTTCAGTTTGCTTAGGGGACTTTAGAAGAATCAGCGCTTCCAATCCATTGCTAAGGTTTGGGTTTTTCACATTTACATAGCAATAAGGAGCTTAGGGATTCTGTAACTGGCAAAGAAAAACATTTAAGTCAGTATTATTATGAATAACAGTGTTTAAGTTAATTTGTACAATTCAATTTAAAAGCCTTTATTCTTCTAAGAAAAATTAGATGGGCAGATCATATTACTATTGCTGAATTGTTGATAGGCAGCATCACCTTTGACCTGAAAGGCTTTCAGTTCACGGCGGCACTGGCAGTAGCAGACATGCTCATGCTTGATGAGACAATGAAGTGTGTAAGGGTGACAGGCTTTATGGCAAAAGGCATCACATACCTTCCACAAATCACTCATTTGTCTAGTTCTGGATGGTATAATTCTGTGACCTATGAAATTAAAAGCAGAAACCTTGATTTCTCTTTATAGCTCTTTGCATCATCTGGGATAGCGAACGGCTGTCAGGCTCTCATCACTACATGAAATTAAAGGCATTTTGGAAGCATAGCATCATTCTGCTGAGGTTAGGGAATTCCCCTCTAATGAAACACATTGTGGCCTGGCATCTGGGAGCTCATATATACAGCTATGAGGTAGATACAATTAAAAAAATGTTCTTGATTATGTTAAATTTACACTCGCTACATTTCCTGGTATAGTTTCCTTTATATTAGCAAAAAAGCAAAGCAAATGGGAGTTGCCTAGACCTAGTGACTGATGGGAAAATGGCTTTCGACCAGATTCTTTGAATTTGGAAATAATCAAACTTAAGGTGTGTCAAACTGTTAATGTTACAACTGAAATGTTATTGATGTTGTTAGAGCTTGGCTGATCTCCAAAACAACCGCCGTCTAAAAATAGAAGAAAAGTAACAGAACTGAAAATTACTGAAAAATTGTACCACATCAAATAGACTGCTGAAGATACCAGGAGATAATTGGTTTGACTATACCAATGTCCCTTTTTTACTATGATACGACTATGCAGCAATTAGGTTATTCTTGTAAATGGCATGGTGACTGCAGCTGTAAAAAGACATCACTGCCATCTTCTGGTAATAGCTCATTTGGTTTACCAGCAAGTGGGGTTTATTTATTTATTTCTCTTTTTATAGAACACTACACAGGCAATCAGGGTTTTTGTTTTCAAGACCAGGGAAATGTAAGCATTGTGCTTTAACATTTTCAATTTGTTTTGATCAATAATTTTATGCTGCTCCAGAATTTCTGATCTGCTAAATGACTCCTACTGGTGAAGCATTCTAGAGATTGATTTTCCTTTGTCATTGTAGGTACCATAAGTCCAGAAATGTGAACTTAATAGCACAATCTTACATTATACTTCTATCCCAAAGCATAAGCTACCTGATGACTGAATGTATGGGAACAGGAATGTTATGAGAAAATTAATGAAGATCAAGTTAAATTGAATGTCAGTGATGCTAATATAATCACCCCCATTTATATTTGCTGAGGATCTAAATCTTCTAAACAGGTTACAGTTACATATTTGTTTGTGTGACAATAAGTAGAATCTGCTTTCTGCTTTTTCCAGAGCCTTTGGTGCCTCAGCATTACCTCTGACAACTTGGTGGATCCTGTTTATCACTAATCATCAAACAGAGATACAACAGCAGCAATATGTCTTGCTCCAGGAGATGTAACTTGGTTTGTGACACGATCTTTATTCATCTTTAACATCAAACATTGCTACTAATAACAAATAATGCTACTATTAATAATTACTTCCAATCTTAATTGATGATGTATCTCCCTCCTGGAGAGTAGGAAAACACCCTTAGTATAAAGGGAAACTACGGTATGTAATGTAGCTGCTTTACAAAATATAATACCCATTCCCCTAAATATTTAATTGGAAACCACTTGTCATACCTTCGGAATTTCCTCAGGTACCAATTTAAAAGAGACATATTTGTTTCGCTACTCAAAAACTTGACAATTACTTGTTTTGCCACAAATTAATAAGTAGATACATATTTTTGCACCTGTTCCATTGCAGGCAAACTAAAAATTTCCAGTGTAATGAAAAGCTTGACAGTCAGGACTGAAGTAGTGAGATTGTGAGGGTTTAATGGGAGTACCAGGGGAGTACCCTGGTATTTTAGCCTTTCCAAAGCAGGCAGTGGGGTTGAGAGCTTGCTGGCCGTGCTGGATGTAGAGAAAAGACCGCTGGAGGGTTTCCATTAATTTCTGAAGTTACCATGCCGGCAGGAATGGTGAGTTACTCTCACAGTTTGGATGGCTCTTCCGTTTCCTTGGTTTTTCCTTATCACTCTGCACCCTGCCAGACACTGGACAAAACTTGGCCTAAATGCACCTACATAGGCAAAATGTTACTTTTATGTAGATGCTGCCATGATCAGCAGTAGCATCTCCTGAGGCCGGTTACTCACTAAACCAGCATTTGTTCCAGCTTGACAGGACAGTCCTCAGGGCCTTGATGGTGCTGGGGTTTGGATCTGCTGGCCATATAGCCATCCTTGGTTCTGGCCCTTACTCAATGCACTGCCAAACAGGGTGAGCAAACATGGCAGATCCTGCCAAGGTACCCCCTTATCTGCGCTGGCTTCCTTCTCGCTGAGCTGCAGCCCCAGCCCCAGCATTTCTGCTTGTCTGTTTTTTTTAGAAGGGAAAATATATTTCCCTTGTACTTTTTCTGTATTGCAAGCCTAGCCTCGATTTGCTGTCTATATATTTAAACATAAATCTTCCATTCAAGTGCTCACAGCCACTGTAAGAGCCATATCATTCTTGGAGATATTTCCTTTTCAGAGCAGCCAGCCTGTCCTCAAATGAAGAGATCTGAGATGGTAAATTTTTAAGAATCACTTCTTATTGGAAGCAGAGCTGCTCTCCATAAATGTAGGAGCCAACCGTCTTTAAACCCAGAGCTGGAGAGTAGGTTTTCACTGTCCATTCATGCCAGTGACAGATGCCTGGCAATCAGGAGCTGCTTGTCAGCTCCCAGACAGGAGGCACAGAACGTACACTTCTGTTAAAAGAGCAGAGAGGCTGTTGGTTAACACAAGCTTTTACGATGAAGTTGGCACACGTTTTCATACAACGTCACTCAAAACCTTTTGCACGGCAGCACATCCCCCAGCTGCAAGCCAGCTGGTGATTGCGAGGGAGGAAGAACCGAGGTACAGTAAAACACTTCTCGTTGTAAGCAATTTTGCAGAAATGTAGTTGCAGCTTTAAAGAGCCCTCCTAAAGCACACATCTCTTTCCCTTACCTGCTGTTTTATTCATTTTATCATCCTGCTGCTGATTCTGCAATTTGTGGTTTGTTAATATGCAGTGACTTTCTGAATGCTGATGCAAAAGGAAACTGAACACAGAGATGCAAAGAAATGATTACAGAATGGGCTTCCTTTTGCTGTTCACATATCCAAGCTAGTTTTATGTTTACTAAACAGTGCTTTCCAGGACTTCTAGGAAACCAGGGTAAAAATCATGGGAATTCATTCTTGTCATTTAGCCATAAACAATGTAATATTAAAACCAAACCCAGTCCCATCAACCAGCCCTTCAGAAGTCATTTGCTGGAAGTCCTAGATTACTGTGTTCACTTGAGTACTTTTGAAAATACATCCAAAACTTAAGAAAACTGAATTAAAATTGTTTTTCAAAATTCAGTCTAGTCCTGAAGTTTGTAATAATCTCTCCACCACAAAATGCAGCACCCTGTAATCAAAGAGGAAAGAACTTGTAACATGGAAAAATCAAAACTAACAGGAGAAATACTGGAAGGTCCCTTTTTCTTGCACTTTTCCTGGTTTAGCAGCCTTTATCAATGAAAATGAAAGGAAAATTATGGAACTGCAACACATAGGGAACTATGCAATAGCTATTACATCTTAATGTCCTTTCTCAACACTTCTTTTTGTAATCTTTTTTATACTTTTACTCTGCTTAGAAGTTGAATGTGGCATATTCCCAGGTGTTCTTAAAGAACTGCAATATTTATTTTTAGCGTGTTAACTTTAACAACTTATTGAAAAGTCATCTTCCTCCAGTGGTTGTTTCTTTCCAACCAGTCCTAGTAGGCTGGTGGCTAAAATAGTGCATAGGAGTACCAACATTTCTGTTTTTCTGAGTTATTCATCAATGAAAGCAGCACTTCTACCAATACAGTTATTAGAGCTTTAATGGTGTAGCCTGAAGTTTTTCAGAACTTAAGATAGACTGGCAGTAATTAAATTAATGTGGGTTTGTAATGATAGCATTCAGCATTTATTTCTAAGTTATTTCCCTACTGCATTAGATTTATTTCAAGGTTAACTATGAAATGCTGTTTTGTTTTTTGTGATACTGTTTCTCCTGTTTTTATCCACAATTTTCAAGGGGGAGAATCATAAGAATTGGCATATAAATTAACTATTGGAATATTCATATAGTACTTTCGCTTATAAAAGAATCATGAAGTGAGAATAATAATTAATGTAGAGGTCTTGATGGTTCACCTGGTTCCGTATTATCATAATCATTTTAAGATTTTTAGCAACTCTGAAATAAGGACTCTAAACTTTCCTTGTGAGCCAAATCATTAGATTATTTGAACCATCCTAACTCCAGTCTAGAATTTCTTTGCTTCCTTTCAGTCTTTTTCCTTTCCTGGTTAATTCATACATAAGTCAGGGCATGAACTAGAGCCCAGAGTGGTTGTCCCTCTGTTTCTCAGTCCACTTCTGCTTACTCATGTGGTAGCAGTGGAATTAGTTGTGTGCTTAAACTTAAAATATGCTTTTGAGCTGGGTACCAACTGCTCCAGATGCTGGGAAAAAGAATATGGAGGCATTAGGGAACCTGTGTGATGACAACCATTCTAGTGATTTGCAGAGCTCCTTCTTCAGGTGATTGCTTTTTTATTTGTTTTATATATTTTAAAACCTTGTAAAGTTTGAGACAGATCTTCTCCTGTATCTACAAGCTAATGGCATGGGAACTCTTAGGAGCCAACTGTGGTTTCCTGCTACTGGGAACTATTCCTGTGCTGGCAAGAACTGGAGAAGTCTGATAAAACCAGAATACTGGGGCTTTCATTCCTCCCATGCAATATTATTCCATGACTAGTAGGATATTTTTCCTTTCAAATATGTAATGATGCCAGCACCTTTCCAAACTGTTCAAATCTGCCATATATGATACAGCGCTGCTCTACACGTCTGGCTGTAAGAGACATGATGTCAGCTTTAGTAATACTTTCCAACCACATTATCTTGCTGCTTTTATACTCTCCTTCCAGACTTGTGGAATTCCTCATCAGCTACTAAAAGACAATGTTCAAACTGGAGACCCATTGATCATTTTAACTGCTCAAGTGGTCAGAAGTCACCCTTACTAATCACTATTGCCTTTAGTCATTATCATTGGACTAATTATGGGCTGATATTCTTGAACCTCTGAAAAATACTGAATCATTGAAAATAAAAATAATACAATGGAAACAAATTGAATACTAAAACTCCTTTATTCTTCATTAAGAAATAAAAATTACACTACCCTAGGAAACTTTGTTGCAACAGATAGAAGCTACAAAGAAAAAAATAAAAAAATTACACTTTTTCCACCATTTTTTTCTAAAATTACAAGCCTTCAGAATTTTTTCAAAATATAGTATCTTGTAAAGCTGCTTGTTAGAGATCTTTTATTTAAAAAAAAATAAAATTAGTAATTCTGACATTTATATAAAAGACATAAAGATGCAAAGCTCCTCAGTACATACATGCATTTTTTCAACTTTTACAAATGTTAAGCAGATTTAGGAAGTGGAAAGTGACTACTGTTTGTTATGAACTGTCTTCATAAATCTGCCTTGGATGGACTCAGACTTGATATGAGTAAATGACTAATGGACTTGAATTATTGAACTGTTGCTTGCAGTTCATAAATAACACACTTTTCCTTAAAGCTGCTTATATTTTGTATTGCAAGTTTAGGGTCTAAAAGCTACTGCCACAAAATGAGTCTGGATTAAGGAGCTTTTTCAGAAACTGCCGGAACAGGAGGTGTCATATATTAAAAAACAAGCAGCATTTCTATGCCACAAGGAATAGACACATTCTTATTGACATGTTTATCTCTAAAATATGTTTCTACTGGAATTTACTATGTCTCTTCCAGACTTGTTTCACAAGATCAATGGACTGGACAAACATTTTACTTTCCAACAGCATAACTTGATAAGAATAGATATGAATATTTCAATATATGTCCCACTCGTTGTAGTGTTCTTCTAGAACTGAGCAAATATTAATCAAACCTTGTGACTCATTAAAATTGGGTATGGCATTTTGTTTACAATTGAAATGCATCAGCCTCTCCAATAAGCACTTTTTTTTTTTTTTTTTTTTTTAAA